GATCGCATCGAAGAAGCGCTGGCCGGTCACCGTTGTAAGCCCCAGTAGCCTCATGACCTGCTCGTGCTTATCTTTGCGCGACTGCTGCCGCAAGTGATGCAGCCGCAGCAACGCGATGATCATGAGGAGCAGCAGCATATTGCTTGTCAACGCGGAAAGCTAATGTCACTATGGAGAGAAGAAAAATATCCAAACATACAAAATCGTTCGCGTGAACACGACACGGCCTAAGTAGGATTATGCTACGCGCTCAAAATCCGTGTTTGTTTTTTGCTGAGGCGGATAATCACGATTTAGCTGCAGCAGAGCCCAGCGCGAACACGGCCTTAGTCATCTACAAAAGATTCTGAAATTAATTAATTCAAATATTTGGTTTATACCTTGTTGGAGGTTTTAAGCCATTGTCATTGACTATATTGGGATTGACTTTTTATTTGAGAAAAATATTATTTAATAAGGTTCGGTTTCATTATTAAGTTCGCTTTCAGATTCGCTAAGTTCGGTTTTGGGCTGACGCAGAGCTCTTTTGGTATGACAAGCATTCTCCACGTGTGCGCTGATAGTAGCGCTTCTGCGCCGCCTTGATCCGCTCTATGTTAGCGAGGTATTGTTCAGGTGAGTACGCCATGGTTAGTATATTAATAACTTTATATTTATCAGGATAAAAAAAAACTTAATGAAACATGTCAAAGCAATTATTATCTGAGTCAACGTGGGAATAGATCGAGTGACCTGTCTAGCCACAGCTCGCGCCATGTCAAAGTCGGGGCCCAAGCAGCTGGCGATGTCATAGTATCGTTCGATACTCTCACAAATCCCGCTACTTCCACTAGCCTCGCTGATTGACGGCAGCACCCGGGATAGCTTCTGACGCTTCACAGGGACTGAGGTCGTAATATCCGTAGTAGCATTAGGATTCAACAGCTGCCTTATCAACTCGAATGCTTCACCTGGATTCGTAATGGTCACTCTGTTCACGAAAGTGGTACTGTTCTCCTTTCCGGCGACCCAAAAGAACCAAAGTCAGTAAGCAGGGCGACCACTGGGTCGGTAGCCATCAGTTCCAGAGCAATAAGCTCTGACATCGCCTGGAAGACAGAACGTCTTTCAACCGTTTTCTTCACTTCAATCAGCATCCTGCAAGTCGTGCACATAATCCGCACTCTCCATGACGATATCACTAAGTATAAGCAGATCAGTGCGACCCCGGAGCTCAATGTTGGAACCCTCGACAGCAGCTCGGAGAATATCTGTCGTATTTTCCACACCGAACACGCAAAGCTTCTCCGCCTGGAGATCCTCGCCAATATTGTCCTCAACATACTTGCGATATTCATTTTTCTGCTTATCCTCGGTGAGATTCATGTCCCACGTGAACCCCTCGACTTCTTCGCGCCACCTTGCATTTTTTTTACGCACAGGCACCACCTTTATCCTCGTACTCGGTTGAGCCCACCTTCGAGTGGACATATGTCTTGCGCTTGGTTTGCACAGTTTGCGTGTGAATTTCGGATGTCCTTGGTTATGAATCTGCTGATAAGAGTTCATTTTCAGCAATGATGATTGCACGACACGGTAAAATAACGAGACTGCAACCGTAGATTGTTATATGTTCTTTGGTGCGATTCGCACCGTGCGAAACACTGAAAAAAACACATCTACTTGACCAACCAACCAAGTTACTACTTGGGGAAACCAGCGACGTACGCCACATGCAACAGCATCTGGGTTGTAGGATCGGCTGGACAAAGCTGAAACTTATCGCTCGTCTCCCTGTCTGGTACCAACGCAATATATCTGACACTGGCAGTGTCCGGGAACAGCGCAGCATATTTGTCAAGTGCCTTTGAATCAATACTTTGTTTGACGGACTTCGTTATTTGGATCAATCCAACAACGTCCTGTCCATCCATGCTCAACTTGGCAACACTGTCGATGGTCGCCAAGCAACGATCGAGCGGATACCAATAGTCTACACCGGATAGTTGCTACATCATCGCTTCACATTCTGCTTCATCCCTTCCTTCATTGCGATACGTGCTGGCTTTGAGCTCCAAGGGAGCGTAGGTGTGCTCATGCTGCTTTGTTCGGTCGTATTCACTCACTTGCAACTCGATTTCCTTTCTACCCCTTGCCATTGCATGCACGTAATTCTCGAACGCAATCCCCATTAACGCATCGTCCCCAAGCACGCGGCCCTTTGACCACAACTTTTCATAGTACGACGGTGTAATGATTTTGCCAAGTTGCCTCAACGCATACTCGGAGGTGATCGCAGAAA